AAAAAAATTAAATCTTTAAAAAAATTCCAAAAAATAGTGTTTTTCCACTTTATCAAACCCATATGGCTCCTTTTTATAAGTGTTTTGAAACATCCTCTGTACTTCCCTGAAATGAAAATTGTAGATAATTATATATACTATGTTCTAAATTTAAATTTATAATTAAAAAAATCAATATAGCATCTTAGTTGAAGCATAAAGAAAAAATCAGAGGGAAAAATATGCATAGTAACAGGATGTGCATTGCAGGATATTCATATTTGGTGACGACTGTTCTGGAAGACATTGAGGACCTGAAGTGCCTACACTTTGTGAAAAGATCTTCAAGATGCCACAGCTGCAAGTGCAGACCAACACAGATCATGTATTAGCTAATCAAGAAGGCATCGGGATGTGATTTTTATGGAAAAAGGGGGGTCTATGCAAAAGTGCTAAGTAGAACACAGTACAACCATCTTTTCTTTACACAGTAGTGACATTCTTTTAAAAGCCAGAGCATGGGGGCCACTGCTGTGGTGCAGAGGGTAAAGCCGCCACCTGCAGTGCCAGCATCCCATATGGGTGCTGGTTCGAGTCCCGGCTGCTCCACTTCTGATCCAGCTCTCTCCTATGGCCTGGGAAAGCAGTAGAGGATGGCTCAAGTCCCTTGGCCCTTGCACCCACGTGGGAGACCCAGAAGATGCTCCTGGCTCCTGGCTTCAGATTGGCGCAGCTCCAGCCATTGCAGCCAATTGAGCAGAGAACCAGAGGATAGAAGACCTCTCTCTCTGCCTCTGCCTCTCTGTAACTCTGCCTTTCAAATAAATAAATCAATCTTTAAAAAAGATTTATTTGAAAGGCAGAGTTACACAGAGAGAGAGGAAAGGCAGAGAGAGAGAGAGAGAGAGAAGTCTTCCATCTGATGGTTCACTCCCCAATTAGCCGCACGGCTGGAATTGCACTGATCTGAAGCCAGGAGCCAGAAGCCTCTTCTGGGTCTTCCACATGGGTGCAGGGGCTCAAGGACTTGGGCCATCTTCTACTGCTTTCTCAGGCCATAGCAGAGAGCTGGATTGGAAGAGGAGCAGCCGAGTCTTGAACCGGCACCCATATGGGATGCTGGCACTTCAGGCCAGGGCATTAACCCTCTGCGCCACAGCGCCAGTCCCTGAATAAATAAATAAATCTTTTTTTAAAAATCCAGAGTATGTTAAACTGTGAAAAATACTTGGTGTTAAATGTTAAAACTCACCTACATCCTAGACTCAGTTGGTGATTATAATGTGAATGTCCATACAGAATGTGGGGCAATTCATTGTCATGCAGGACTGTCCTGTGCATTGTGGGACGTCCAACATCCCTGGGCCCTGACCATCGAATGCCAGTGGTATCATTGCAACAGCCAAAATGGCACCATAGATGGCCAACATTCTTCTAGGAGACAGTGTTACTTTGGTTCAGAACCATCAATGTAAAGGATGACTCCAGGCAATAAGTCATTCACGTCATCATTCATGAAGTCCTGGATGATCCATAGACATTAAAGGAATTTGATGGGCTGGCAATTTGAGCCAACTCTCTCAGCTCTTCAAGTCTCCACTTGCTGTATTACAGAGCTGTCCTAAACTAGGATCCCTGGATTCCCAGCTTAGTGATGATCTGGGTGTTCTGAAGCTAGTGCCTGATGTGAAGGGCTCATCAGAGAGGATGAATAACGTTTCTGGGTGAACAGGTAGAAATTAGGCCTGTAAATTTCAAGCTACATACTCACCTCTGCCTTGAAATCCTTTTGCCTTCATTAATAAGCCTCCTCAGATGTTTCAGAGACGAGAGCTGTATCTCATTTTCTGTCATGGACCACAGAAGTGATAATCGCAGAGTGATTATTGTAAGCCAGGCTATGTATCATACCCGATGTCATGAGTTACCTCATTTACCTCTCACCATCACCCTAGGGTGTAGATACCATTGTTATTCCTGGGTTTTGTTGTGGAAAATTGAAGCAGAGAGGCTAAGTAACATTTCCATGGTCACAAGTTAATAAATTGAACAGCTGGGATTTGAATACAGGCCTCTGATTCCAAAGCTGGAGGTGTTTTTTTTTTTTTTTTTTTTTTTTTTTTTACAGGCAGAGTGGACAGTGAGAGAGAGAGACAGAGAGAAAGGTCTTCCTTTTGCCGTTGGATCACCCTCCAATGGCCGCCACGGCTGGCGCGCTGCAGCCGGCGCACCGCGCTGATCCGAAGGCAGGAGCCAGGTGCTTCTCCTGGTCTCCCATGGGGTGCAGGGCCCAAGCACTTGGGCCATCCTCCACTGCACTCCCTGGCCACAGCAGAGAGCTGGCCTGGAAGAGGGGCAACCGGGACAGAATCCGGCGCCCCAACCGGGACTAGAACCCAGTGTGCTGGCGCCTCAAGGTGGAGGATTAGCCTAGTGAGCCGCGGCGCCGGCCCCAAAGCTGGAGGTTTTAACTATTCTGGTGTTCTCCCTAGCTGTGTCCTGGGCGTAGAGAAATGGTTCTGCTTTCCAGTGGCTAATACCTTTTGGCATTCAGCCTGCTTGGGGAAGAGTCCAGTGGTTTCCTGTACTGGTAATGTTGCCTTAAGCTTCAAATAGCAGAAAGCTGACTAGTAAGCCTGACTGATAAGAATGTTTATTGTTTTTGCAACATCACATCCCAAGGTTGGTAAAATGGCTCACAAATTTGTTAAGCACCCTCAGCCAGGCCGTGATCAGGGTAGTAGCTTTTCTCTCTCACACCTGCTATCAGCCACAGGCTGACTGCTACAGCTCCAATTACATAAAACAAAGGAAGGAACAGAGGGAAAAGATTCTTTTAAAAATTATTTATTTATTCAAAAGGCGGAGTTACAGAGAGACAGAGAGAGAGAGAGAGAGAGAGAAAGAGGTCTTCCATCTGCTGTTTCACTCCCCAGATGGCTGCAACAGCTGGAGCTGTGCTGATCCAAAGCCAGGAGCCAGGAGCTTTTTCTGGGTCACCCATCTGAGTGCAGGGGCCCAAGCACTTGGACTATCTTCCACCGCTTTCCCAGGCCATAGGAGAGAGCTGGCTCAGAAGTGGAGCATTAGGTGTTGAACTGGTGCCCGTATAGGATGCTGGCACTGCAGGTGGCAGCTTCACTTGCTACACCACAGTGATGGCTCCAGGGAAAAGATTCTTTAAATGGAGGGGCCAGTGTTATGGTGCTGCAGGTTGAGTCGCTGTTTACAACACTGGCATCCCATATCTGAGTGCCGGTTTGAGTCCTGGCTGATCTAGCATCCTGCTAACATACCTGGGAAGACATGGAAGAAGGCCCAAGTACTTGGATCCCTGCCATCCACGTGAAAGACCCAGATGGAGTTCCTGGCTCCTGGCTACAGTCTGTCCCAGATCTGGCTCTTGGTAGCCATTTGGGGCATGAACAAGAATGAAAATCTCTCTCCTTCTGTCTCTCCCTTTTTTGTGTCACTCTGCTTTTCACACAAATAAACCTCTCAAAAATTCTTTAAATGGCTAAATGCCAAGCCAACTTCCTACTGAATCTCATTGGCTGTAACTGACTGACATGCCCACCCTGAACCCATTACTGGGAAAGAAGTTGTATTACCGTGAATGCCTATCATTATCCCTTGGGGTTCTGTTGCCAGGAGTTTCCAACCATTACAAAGCGAGGGTACTCTTAGGCAGGAAAGGGATGACTACCACGTTAGGTCACTAAGGTTGATATAACAGAATGCCGTGGGCTGGGTGACTTAAACAGAAATGTATTTTCTCATAATCCTGGGGGCTAGAAAGCTCAAGATCAAGGTCTGAGAGAGTTTGCCTCCTGTTAGGGCTCTCTTCCTGGCTAGTAGAAAGCAGCCATCCTGCCTTGGTGTGAGAGAGGGGAGGGAAAGAGGGAGAGAGAGAGAGAGAGAGAAGGAATAGAGCTAGAACGCTCTCAGGGATCTCTTCTTGTTAGGGTAGTGATCTCATCATGAGGGTCCCGTCCTCAGGGTCTCATCTAGCTCTGATTATATTATAAAAGGCCAGATCTGCAAACCCCATCACTTTTGGGTTAGGGTTCCAACATCTACATTTTAGGGGACACAAATACTCAGTCCTTGATAGCTGCCAAGCAGGCACTATACAGTATCTGCCAACCCTTCTCTGTGGAATGGCGCTGTGGTCCCAGATTGGGTAGCAATGTGGGGATTATGTTGGCTGCAGGGAACACTAAAAGATGTGATTACAGTTCTCTTAGCTGTAATGAAATCCTGTGTCTCTATGCAAACCTGAGGACTAAAGGTTTTCTCACAAACTCTCCCTCACAGTCCTCCCAAGCTGGAGACTCCTGTTGTGAACTCTGTCCACATGGGGTATCCTCGATCACCTCAAGCATTGTGGGGTGGGCTGAGTGTGGGTGGAGCATCTCTTCTGTCGTAACAGGACTTGGTTAATTCCAAACCGTCTAGAATCTGTGAAGATGTACAGTAGTCCCTTGGCAATTTCTTGAATGCCTCATGCATGCAAGCTTTGTCTGCCTGTCCCCAGTGTACACGCTGTGGCCCCAATTTCTGTGCAAGACTTGGAGTTGGGCCTTGCTGGATGCTTTCCTAAGAGAAATAAAGATAACAGGTTAAGTTTCACCATTAGTAATCTACGTACTTCCTTTTTTGTGATCCCAGTGGGTCTTTGTATTAGTCCATTTTCCAGTGCTACAACAAATTCCTTAGGCTGGGTAATGTATCAAGAAAAGAAGCTTATTAAGCTCACAGCTTTGGAGGCCGAAAATCCAAACAGCATGGCGCTGGCTCTGGCGAGGGTCTCACAACAGATGGCATCATAATGGCAGAGCATGTGTGAGAGGGAGAGATTAGATGGTGAAACAGGAAGCCAGAGAGAGAGGAGGGGCCAAACTTCCTGCTTTATAACTACCCACTCTCACTGAATCTAACAGAGTTACCAAGAGAACTGTGTTAATCCCTTCCAAGGTCAGCACATCCAGTGACCTTCTACCATGTCCTTCCTCTTAAAGGTTCCACACCTCCCAACACAACCACACCAAAGACCAAGCTTCCAGTCCATGAACCCTCGGGGCGGAAAACCACATCCGAATCACATCAGTCTGCCTTTTCACCACTTTCCCCCAGAAGGTTAGGTCCGAGCTATCCACTTGTCCAGGGGTGTAAAATTAGAGATCAGCAATGGCAAGGGAGAGAGACCTACTCTGGCTGATGTGACTACTAGGCCATGGAGAGCTCACACATTCACTGGAAGCTGGAAAATCAGGCTTGGAGATGGGCAGGAACAGGCAGCTCTGGAGAGAGGAGAGGAAGGAAGCAGGAACCGCAGAACCGTCCAGACACCACTGCCTGATGAATGCACGGCACCCATTTTCAGTTCAGTTCTCTGGAGAACATTTGACTGGAGATGGGATCAAGTTCAGATGGATCACAGATTTAAGTGTGAAGGCAAACTCAATAAAGCATTTAGAGGAAAACAGAGAGCCCCTTTGGACCAGAGAGGGCAGGGTAGGGTATCAAACTCAAGTAGGACTTGTGGAGAGGAGGATGCCAGGCCCACACCAGGAACAGGAACCAGAGGCACAGCCTGCACAGAGAGCAGTGCACGCCTGTGGCTTAGCGATTTGAGAATCTCAAGGAGAGTAGACACCAGGCCCATGGCAGTGTGAGTGACTCCAGGTCTCTTCAAGTGTCACCACACACCTTCAGTCTTGGTCAGGATCAGCTCAGGCTGCTCGAAAAGGACTTCAGGGCTCAGAGCTGGGCAGGAAACAGGCAAGGCTCATGTGTCTCTCCTTCCCGTAAAGGTGCCCAACTAGCTGGGACAGTGGAGAAGCAAGCAACCCGGGGACCGAGCAGTGGGAGACCCAGGGCTCTCAGGGCAGCTCTCTGAGTCTGCGAAGCGTACAGCCCCGAGATGCAGAATCTGAAAAGCAGGGCCTCATGTGTGATCTCAACTGATCCCAAGGTAATGAGCATTGGAAGCAGGGACCTCACACTTGGCAAATATTTTAATAAAAAACAACTAATCCTATCGTACCAGGCCTTTACATACACCATCTTATTTAACCTTCCTAATAACTCTATTTTGTAAGTTACTGTCCCCTTTTCCCATATGAGGAAACTGAGGTCCAGCAAGTTTAAAAAACTTGTCCCAGGCCACAGAGCTATTTAAAGAGGCAGAGCTGGTATTTAAATGTTGACATCACTCCAGAAATACTTCAACACGGCCTTCAACATCGCCTCTCAAGTAAGCCAGGCAGGAAAATGCAGACGCCTAAGCAGACCCACTGAGCAAGGACTGGCAGCAAGAAATGCACGCAGAGTCAAGGAGACACATACTGGCACATTCCAACTCTGTGGTGCCAGAGAGCCAGGAGGGGTGGAAAGTGGGAGGCTGCGTAAGCATGTGGCCATGTGAAGTCAAGATTTTATTCAGCCTCCGTGAATCTCCCTTCTGGAGGGCCCCTAAATGTGGTTCCAGCTGTCACATGGGACTTCTGATACCATGCAGATAATGAGAATCGTGGGCTACTTTTAGAATTGCCATCGGATCAGCGCGGTGCGCCGGCCGCAGCGCGCCGGCCGCGGCGGCCATTGGAGGGTGAACCAACGGCAAAAGGAAGACCTTCCTCTGTCTCTCTCTCTCACTGTCCACTCTGCCTGTCAAAAAAAAAAAAAAAAAAAAAAAGAATTGCACTGTGGAACTTGCCCAGTAAATCCTGCTGGTTTTATTTTATTTCTTTGTGGTAAGAAGATTTAGCAGGGCATTTGCTCTCCTTGTGAATTTTCAAGTGCACCATTGCAGGGACAATGTTGTCCTGCAGAGCTCTAGAATGTACTCATCCTGCTTAACTGAAGCTTTATGCCTGGAGATCAGCAACTCATTTCTTTGTTCCCTAAGCTCCGGGCAGGCACCATTCCACCCGCTGACTCCATGAATTAAAAGTAGAATCAGAAAAATCGTGCTGTATTTGTCCTTTTGTGGTTGGCTTATTTCACTTAGTGTCATGTCTTCAAGTTTCATCCATGTTGTCACATATTGCAGGAGTCCCTTCTTTTTTTCAGCGGAACAGTAGTCCATTGTGTGAATATACTACATTTTCTTTATCCTGTCGTCTGCTGATGGACCCTCAGGTTGCTTCTGTTTCTTGGCTATCAGCAATAGTGCTGCAGTGACAACCTCTGCTGCTTACACATCAAACCTCCACACTGGAGCCCACGTTGTGTGTCCCAGTGGGTTAGGCCACTGCCCGTGACACCAGTAGCCCACGTAAGTGCTGGTCCAAATGTTGGCTGCTCTGCTGCTGATCCAGAACCCTTCTCATGCCCCTGGGAAAGCAGTGGCGAACGGCCAAGTCTTCAGACCCCTGCACCTATGTGGGAGACCCGACTGGAGTTCCAGACTTCTGGCTTCAGCCGCAGCCCCTGCCATTGTGGCCATTTGAGGAATGAACCAGCAGATGGAAGATCTCTCTCCTTCTGTCTCTCCCTCTCTCTAACTCTGCCTTTCAAATACATAAATAAATCTTTAAAAAACCGAAACTTCTTCAACACTATACCTTGTGGTCCTGTACATAATTCTTGCCATGACTTCCAAAACCTTTCATGATTCAATAACCTTGAATCTCAGCTACAGTCTGCCCCATATAGCGGATCCATCCCAGAATCTTCTTCCTTTATTTCCTGGCATACTTTTGCCTCTTGTCTCTAGCAATTTAAAAGATTACCTATGCTTCAAGGCTTAGCTCAAGCCCTCTCTCCTCCATTTTGGGTTCTCCAAGGAGATAGAATCAATAGGAAATATAAATATACATTTGTAAGAAGGAATTAGCTTACGTGATTATTCAGGCTTGAGGAGTCCCAACATCTGCAGTTGGCAAACTGGAGACCCAGGAGAGCAGATGTGTGGTTCGAGCTCAAGCCTGAAGGACTGAGAACCAGGAAAGAAAGCAGGTGGTGCAAGTTCTAGTCCAAAAGCTGGGAGGCTCAAGACCTGTGAGGAGCCACTGCTCCTGCTGGGGTTCAAAGACTGGCAAGGAGCGACACAGCAGCACCAGCAGTCAGGTGGGAGGGGTGCCTCTCTAGCAGGAGGGTCAGCATTTTTATGCTGCTCAGGTATTCAAATGTTTGCATGAGGCCTGCCTACACGAGGGACTGCCACCTGCCTGATGAACTCCATCAATTCAAGTATTAATCTCATCCAAAAACACTCTCAGACACCCAGCAACACGTTTGACCAAATGTCTGGAAGCCCATGTTCCAACCAAGTTGACACACAAACTAACCATCACACCTTGTTTCATTTTCAAAAATTTGAATTATGTCCTCCAAGACTCAGACAGCTCCAGCTGTTAACTGTGATTACTCCCGAGGAGTGGAATTCTAGGAAGGCAAGGGAGTACTTCCTTTTTCACTCTTAACTGTTTAAAAAGAGGGTTAAATGCAGTAGAGCTTCGTGTAAATGGTGCTTTCTTTTTCTTTCAATGTTTATTTATTTTCATCTTACTGAATGGCAGAGGGGAAAGGGAGAGAGAGAGAGAGAGAGAGAGAGAGAGAACTGTACTTCTATTCACTGGCTCACTCCCCAAATGCCTGCTAGAGCCAGGGCTGGGCCTGGCCAAAGCCAAGAGCCCAGAACTCCATTCGGGTCTCCCGTGTACAGAGCAGGTACCCAAGCACCTGAACCATCATCTGCTGCCTCTCGGGATGCACTAGCAGGAAACTAGATCAGAAGCAAAGCTGCCGGGATTCACACCAGGCTCTCCATCATGGGATGCAAGAAATTCCAAGCAGTGACTTAGCCCTCAGAGCCGTGAAGCCTGCCCCATGCTTTCTTTTTTTTGTGTGTGCTTGTCTATTTTCCAAATTTTTATATGATAAAAAAGTGACCTAATTCCAACTACCAGTTTATAGAAAATACAAAGGACAGCAGAAAATATTCATAAACTGCACAATCCATGACTGTTAGGAAGTATACAGGATAAGTAATCTAGTTTCCTCAATAGATAAATTCCAAGTGTTATAAAAGGAAGCAGAAGGAGGACTTAATGATTAAAAGGGACTTGAATGACATAGTAACTATTTGCAACATGTATATGTTATTTGGATATCCTTAAAAAGAAAACTCCAGGGGCTGGTGCTGTGGTGTAGTGGGTAAAGCTGCCACCTGCAGCACCAGCATCCATATTGGCAACAGCTGGAGTTCCCCACTGCTCCACTTCTGATTCAGCTCCCTGCTAATGCCCTGGGAAAGCAGCAGGTTCTAGTCCTGGCTGCTCTTCTTCCAATCCAGCTCTCTGCTGTGGCCTGGGAAAGCAGTAAAAGATGGCCTGAGTCCTTGCACCCGCATGGGAGACCCGGAAGAAGCATCTGGCTCCTGGCTTTGGATCGGCAAAAGCTCCATCCGTTGCGGTCAATTGGGCAGTGAACCAGTGGAAGGAAGACCTTCCTCTCTGTCTCTGCCTCTCACTGTCTGTAACTCTACCTCTCAAATAAATAAATAAAATCTTAAAAAAAAGAATCCCTCATCTTCCAACCATTTATCCTGCTTTCAAAACTAGCACTAACCACTACTTATCTCTCTCTCTCTCTTTTAATATTTATTTTTATTTATTTGAAAGACAGTTACAGAGAGAGGTAGAGCTGAGCTAATCTGAAGCCAGGAGACAGGAGCTTCTTCCAGGTCTCCCACAAGGGTGCAGGGGCCCAAGGACTTGGGTCATCCTATGCTGCTTTCCCAGGTGCATTAGCAAGGAGCTAGATTGGAAACGGAGCATCCAGGCCTTAAACTGGTGTCGACATAGGATGCTGGCACTGCAGGCCACAGCTTTAACCTGCTGCACCACAGCACTGGTCCCAGCTGAATTGATTTTTTTAATTTTAATATAGGACCCCTTTCCCCACAAACCTGATACAAGACAGTTGGTCCTAAAGATAATTTGAGACTCTCCACAGAGCTGCATTCAAATTTTGTCTTCCCCGCAAACCAAAGTGTGCTCATAGGCCAAGCATGACCGCCCTTGCTAGGGTGAGCAGCTTTCCTTCTAGAATATCACTAGGAAGGTTAATGTAAAGTCCTTATTCTCTAGTTCAATGCAAATTGCATCCAGGGGCCAGCTGACAATCTCACTGCAGCAAGTGTCAGGCTCTTTGGAAATACGCATGCCTGGAGGCCCAAGTGGAGATTCACAGGAGCTCCACAGCTTCAGCCCACACTTCTGGGACTCTACAAAGGGACTAGCAGACCACATTTTCACTTTTCCACTCTCTAGAGAAGACAGATTTGTGTCAGCCTACTGCTGGAAAATTCATTCCTCCTGGGAGGAGGACAGGGAGGAAACAGACAATAAAAAGATAAGTAGGGGCGGGCGCTGTAGTGCAGCAGGTTAAAGCCCCAGCCTGAAGCACCGGCATCCCATATGGGTGCCAGTTCTAGTCCTGGCTGCTCCTTTTGCAATCCAGCTCTCTGCTATGGCCTGGGAAAGCAGTAGAAGATCGCCCAAGTCCATGGGCCCATGCAGAAGCAGAGGAGCTGGGACTGGAACCAGACACCCCAATATGGGATGTAGGCATTTCTTTTTTTTTCCCCTTTTTTGACAGGCAGAGTTAGAGAGAGAAACAGAGAGAAAGGTCTTCCTTCCGTTGGTTCACCCCCTAAATGGCTGCCACGGCCGGCGCACTGTGCCAATCCGAAGCCAGGAGTCAGGTGCTTCCTCCATGGTCTCCCATGTGGGTGCAGGGCCCAAGTACTTGAGCCATCCTCCACTGCCTTCCCAGGCCACAGCAGAGAGCTGGACTGGAAGAGGAGCAACCGGGACAGAATCCGGCGCCCCAACGGGGACTAGAATCTGGTGTGCCGGCGCCACAGGCGGAGGATTAGCCTAGTGAGCTGCGACGCTGGCTGGGATGTAGGCATTTCAAGCATTCTTTTTAAAGATTTATTTATTTGAAAGTAAGAGTTACACAGAGAGAGAAGGAGATGCAGAGAGAAAGAGAGAGAGGTCTTCCATCCACTGGTTCACTCCCCAGTTGGTGGCAATAGCCAATTTGAAGCCAGGAGCCAGGAGCTTCTTCTGGGTCTCCCATATGGGTGCAGGGCCCAAAGACCTGAGCCATCTTCCACTGCTTTCCTAGGCTATAGCAGAGAGCTGGATCAGAAGTAGAGCAGCCAGGATTCAAACCTGCACCCATATGGGATACTGGCGCTTCAGGCCAGGGCATTAACCCACTGTGCCACAGAGCTGGCCCCAAGCTTCTGAATCCAGTTACCTGCTAATTCACACCTGGAGACATAGCAGATGATGGCTCAAGTATTTGTATCCCTGCCATATGGGAGACCCAGGTGGAGTTCCAGACTCTTGACTTTGGCCTGGCCCAGCCCTGGATATTGCAGGCATTTAGAATGTGAACAGTGGTTGGAAGATTCTCCCCATCTCTGCCTCCCTCCCTCTCTCCCTCCCTCCCTTTTTCCCTCCCCCCCCCCTCTCCTTCCCCCCCACCTCCCTCCCTCCCTTGGCCTGCTGCCTTCAGCCACAAGATGATAAGAAAAGGCCCTTGATATATGGTAGCCCCTTGACCTTGGGTTTCACACTTCCCAGGCTTCAGAACCTTGAAACAATACATTTGTGCTCATTATTACTCAGTCTGTGGTATTCTGTTACAGCAGCATAAAGTGGACTAAATCAGGCTCCAAAGTCTACAGCAGTTCAGGCATGCTCCCTTGGGATCAGACAGCACCCATTCCCACCTGCAGCCAACACATTCCCCCAGTAATGTTCTGGTTGTGTGAAGACGTATTCTCCTGGCTTTTGTGTTGTGGTAAAATAGAGGTAACATAGCATTTACAACTTTAACCGCTTCTCAGTGTAGAGTTTGGTGGCATTCAGTGTATTCTTGTCTCTGTGTGGCCATTGTGCCAGCCATCCCCAGAACTTTTTCCCAAACTGTAGTTCTGCACTCATTAAACAGTTACTGTCTGTCTCTCCTCTCCTCCCCCAGCCTCTGTCAAACACCATGTCCCTTTTGTCTCAGTGGGGTCGACTACTCTACATACCTCAGGTAAGTGGAATCATACAGGACTTGTCCTTGTGCCGGGCTTCATTCAGTGTCGCTCCCCCTCTTCGCGGAGGAACGACACAGGACCCTGCGCTGTTCTTTCGTCTGCTCGGCCCTCCCCGGGTTTGCTGCTGGTTCTTCCAGGGTGGGCTACCGACCCTTCCACCTCTGTGGAAGGGCGGTTCCCCCTGCCACATTCCCCACTTCCGCGGGGGAGCGGCACACTGCCGGCCGGCTCTCTCGGGGGCTGCACAGGTGTTCCTTCAGATAGATGTTCCCCTTAGATGTTCCTGGTGCATGTTGTCTCTCTCCTCCTTTATAGTCCTCTTCCACCAATCCCAACTCTGCTACCCACACGCCGAGTACGCTGCTCTCCTCCAATCAGGAGTAAGTCCCACAGTTTATTGGTTGAACTGGAGGCAGCTGTGTAGAAGCTGTTTCTCCCTTCTCAGCATCATATTGTGGGAGAGCAGATGCATAGAATAAGTCTTAATTCCAGTAACTTAGTCTAGTCCGAGTTGCTCCCCACAATTCAGGTAGAGTGACATCTTCAAAGTCATCCCTGTTGGGACTGATATTGTGGTGTAGCAGATTAAGCCATTGCCTGCAGGGCCAGCGTTCCATATGGATGCCAGTTCAATTCCCAGATGCTGCACTTCCAATTCAGCTCCCTGCTCATGTGCCTGAGAAAGCAGCAGAGGATGGCCCAAGTGCTCGGGCCCCTGCCACCCACATAGGAGACCCAGAAGAAGCTCCTGGCTCCTGGCGTCAACCTGGCCCAACCCTGGCTTTTGCAACCATTTGGGAAGTGAACCAGCAGATTGAAGACCTCTTTTTCTCTCTCTCTCTCTGCCTCTGCCTCTCTGTAACTCTGCCTTTCAGATAAATAAATAAATCTTCAAATATGTATAAATATTTTATTTTCATCATCTACTTGAAAGTCAGAGGGAAAGAGAGATGTATCTTCCTTCTGCTGATTTACTTCCCAAATGCCTGCAACAGCCATGGCTGGGGCTGTTTAAAGCCAGGGGCCCAGAACTGAACCAGGTCTCCCACTTAAGTGACAGGGGCACAGTTATTTGAGCCACCATCTGCTGCCTCTCAGGATCACCAGCAGGAAGATGGACTGGAAACAGAGCATCTGGGACTTGAACCAGGACTCTAACATGGAATATGGGAATCCTAAGCAGCGGGTTAACCCACTGCACCACGAAACCTGTCCTAGATACAGGCGTCTTAACCAGTGTCTCAACTACTAGGCTAAATATCTACCCATGAACTTCATTTTTTTAGTAAGTAGAAAGAGTACATTCTTAAGAAGAAAAATTATGGTATAGTAAATACATAAATCAGTAGCATAGCTATTTATTATTAATTGTGTGCTATACTTTGATACAACCGGTGGTATAATAGGTCTACAGCAGCATCACTACGTATGTGAGGAAAGTGCTGCACTGAAACATCAGCACAGCTACAACAGCACCAGGTCACAAGGATTTTCAGCTCCACCACTGCATATGCAGCATTGAATGAAACATTATTTATTAGGCAGTGCATAACTGTATTTTACAATTCTGTTTTTTTTTTTTTCAAAAAGTGATTAAAATAATCCTTTGGCAACAAAAGGGGCAAGTTTCCATTACATGGAAATATCAATTGTGTGAAACATTCTCCTCTAATGTTGGATGAATGAAATGTTGCTATGATTCTTAGCCATAGGAAGAAGTCACTATAGAACCAAGCTCATATGCAGATCAAGGAAGAGCTAGCAATCTCTGCCATTCTAAACAAAAGCGAGAAGACAGGTGTTCTCCTTTCTCACCCAGGCCTGGCTACAACTCCCCGCACCAGGGTGGGAACCTTCAGGTTACAAGTTACAGGCTCTGTGTGCTCAAGTTCTCAGCTTGGTGCCTCCTGCCAGAGAAGGATGCTCTAGCCCTGTAATTGGAGCTTTCGTAGGCTCAAATTTAACCTGAAGGTAAAAATCAAGGAGGCATACATTTTAGCCTGAAGGCTGAAAATCAAGGAGGGTGTATCAAAGGAACAATCTCCAGCTTGGTGCCCTTACCATTGAGTTTCTCTCTTCTCATTCAAGATGTCTCCATGGTAACTCCCTTGTACCTCCAAACAGCCTTGATAGGCCCTGTGGGGGATTAGATTACTGCTATCAATTCTTCCTTCCCTCCCTGCCACAGAATGAAACATCCACAGTCCTCATCACATGACTTGGCAGGCAGAAAACATTTTCATGACCCATTGATGTTGACCTTGATTATGTCGTTTGTTTGTTTGTCAATGGAATGTTCAGATGTTGTGGATGTCACCAGAAAAGAGATTAAGTTTTTTTCCTAAAGATATATTTATTTTATTTGAAAGTCTGAGTTAAAGAGAAGAAGAGACAAAGAAATCTTTCATCTGCTGGTTCACTCCCCAAACGGCTGCAATGTCCAGGATTGGGCCAAGTCAAAACCAGGAGCCTGGAACTCCATCTTGGTCTCCCATGTATGTAGCAGGGTCCCAAGCACTTGGCCATCTTCCACAGCTGTACTAGGTGCATTAGCAGGAAGCTGGATCAGAAGTGGAGCAGCTGGGACTCGAACCAGAGCTCTCTCATATGGGATGCTGGTGTAGCAGATGGCAGCCTAACCCACTGTGCCACAGTGCTGGCCCCAGAAAAGAGGTTCTATGTGTTTGCATGATTGGGCTTGGCTTCTTGAACCTCCTCCAAATTGCCATGAGAAGCTGCTTGTCCCAGATGAGACATATGGGGCCAGGAATACGCATATTCCAAGTTATTTCCCTTGTGTGAGATAAGCATTCAATACAGAGAAATAAATAACATGCAAAACCAAAAGTGGGATTTATTTAAAGAGAGAGAAAATATACATTCATATGTAAATGTGGGCAACCCAGTGAGGAGACACCTGCCGCGAAAGGGTCAGAGAGCTTGCCTACGAGGAGAGAGCTCATAGGACAAGGGAGCCAAATGGGCAAAAATAAAAAAGATAAAATAAAAGGGCTGGCTGGCGCCGCAGCTCACTAGGATAATCCTCTACCTTTGGTGCCGGCACACTGGTTCTAGTCCTGGTCGGGGCGCTGGATTCTGTCCTGGTCGCTCCTCTTCCAATCCAGCTCTCTGCTGTGGCCCAGAAGGGCAGTGGAGGATGGCCCAAGTGCTTGGGCCCTGCACCCCATGGGAGACCAGAAACACCTGGCTCCTGGCTTTGGATTGGTGCAGCGCACCGGCCGTGGTGGCCATTTAGGGGGTGAACCAACGGCAAAAGGAAGACCTTTCTCTCTGTCCCTCTCTCTCACTAACTCTGCCTGCCAAAAAATAAATAAATAAAAGGGCCACTCCCACGTGCAACAGTCCCTTTTATGGGGTAGATGGTGGTCCCCTAATTGAGCATGCCAATGAGATGGAGTTTGGGCAGAGTTTAGTGTGAGTGAGCTTCTCTGGGAGTTTTATGGTGCCACCATGTGGAGTTTAACTTCCCCATTTCATCATGGTGTCTCCTCCTTCCCAGCCCCAGATGAGGTGCAGGTGCATCATGGGAAAGTGAGTGAACTACATTGACATAAAAAGGGGTGGAGTTAAAGTGCAGGGCTGCAGAGACAGAAATTGTGGGAAAATCTCCCATCTCGTCTACTTCCATCCAACTTCCTGCTTAGTTGTCCCCATATCAAATCCGCAGCCTAAAGCAGAACTACTGCAGCTGGCCTGAACAACTCTAGATGAAAAATACGAATGTGGTGGTGACGTTGGAAGCCACTGAATTTGGGATTTTTTTTTTTAAATTTGTTTGCACAGAATCATTGCAACAAAAGCTGACAGATGCAGCCCCCTTCTATAACACAGCCTCAGGGTTCACCAGGCAGCTCCAGTGTCACTCTGATATCCTATAGCTAGGCAGTTACTTTAGTCTAGGTGAGCTGGAATTCTTGCAATCTTGCAAGGTGGTGTTATCTCTGTCAGCTGGACATGCCCAAATTCCCAGGATGTACCTGAGTCTTATCTGGGACCATGAAAGGGGGAACACCAGGCTAACCACATGGAATTTCAATTCCACATGAAGTTTTCCTGAGAGACTTTGCACCTGCTAAGACCTCACCAATCTGTTTATTCAATTAAGATACCATCCCCTACCTCATAGAGGCTGAGACAGGGGTGCCGTCTCTTCCACCATGGACCACACTTGGCGGTACCACTCTCTTTTTCTCTCCTCCTTAGGCAGCCCTCTCACTCACTCCTAATAGGCATTTCTCCGTGTGGGATGGTCCACCCTTATGCATGAATGAGTTTAATCTCTCACTGTTAAAAAAAAAAAAAACTGTTCTCACTTATATGCACATAAACACACACACATATACACACATATATACTTATATATCCCTCCATTTAGAATTCTTATCACAGTGGAGAGCAAGGACCTGGAATAAATATATATATAGGTCCCTATCAATTTCAATACTCCTCACCACATGCACACCATGATTCTGGCCTCACAGGTGCCCACCCTGCCCCAGTGACCAGTCCCTCCTCTGTCATCCCTGTAGCAGCTCTATCTCTGGAGTCAGAGGTAAGGTACAGGTCCCTGGGTTGCTGCTGAAGTGAAATATCTTCCAACTATGAGGCTAGAAAACGGAGCCGCTTTGTGCTGTTATCTAGAGCTCATAAGCTGGACTTTTTGTTGTTGTTGTTCTATTCATTTGAAGACAGAGAGAGAAGTAGAGACAGAGAGAGAGGTCTTGCATCTGCTGTTTCACTCCCCAAATGACCACAACCGCCAGAACTGAGCCAATCCGAAGTCGGGAGCTGCACTGCAGGTGGTGGCTTTATCTGTAGGCCACAGCGCCAGGCCTCTTCAAGCATCTTCTTAACTGCTGAGCCAAATGCCTATCCCTACCTTTTTAAAATAAGGGTAAAGTATAAAAAAAGTAGCATTTTAGGTGTACAGTTTAGTAGTATTAAGTACATACACATTACTGTGTGTGGAAGGGTT